ATTAAATAAGTCGAATCGATATCAATGATACCGGTACATATAATTAGCTTAGGTGTATTAAAATATAATTATCGTTATGTAATACATAATATATTCTATTAATGAGACGACTTAAAGGAATGGCTAAAAATCACAGTTATACAACAACAGTAATACGTAGTCATGTTAACAATAATAATCTGGAGATTAGAATTTAAGAACCGGTACATTCATGACATTAAACATCATAAACATTTACGATTTTGAATGACCTAATTAAGTAGTATATTCTCTTGTTCTTTTCATACATCTAAAACTGTACACTTAAGTATTAAATATAGTTCAAAGTTCTAGAATCTAGACATTGGTCAAGCTCGGTAATACGGTTGTTATTACTAACCTACAAAACAGATCATTTATACAGTTAAAAACAATAAGTAGAAAGGTAGGTAATAATGATGACTATCAAAAAACTTAAGTTCAAGCCAACCGATGATAACTTATTACAGTATTATACTTTTTTTTACAATATGTCCACGATGTGTATTATACTATTATATAATATACAGAAAGCAAGAGATAGCTAGAATTTAAAAATATTTTGAATTTAAGCATAATTTCCGGAAAAAAAAAACTAAAATAATTTACTTAAATATTTATATTAAATATTTGGTGTTATAATTTTGAATATTATTGTAGACATTGTTTGATATAGGTAGGAACTATATAAATTATAATTGCATTGTAATAGAAATAACATCAAACCATTTTGATTTACGGTACTGAATAGAGACGAGTGAAAGGGAAAGAGAAAGATTACATGTACTCTGTAGAAATCGAAGTTAAAAAAATACAAAGGAACCATAAGCATATTGATTATTAATTATTAATTTTTGTTTTTAAATTATGTAATCATTGCTAACATTACAGCATAGTAATTAGTAATATAATATAGTAGTAGGTAACAGCTGACTATAATATAATTATTTTGCCGAAATGTAAACTTTAAACGCTCATAAAAAATGAATTTGGCTCAACGGTKAACTAATTTTTCAATCCAAGAAGAACTATTACGAGGAACTTAGTATTACATTTTCAAACTTTTTGATTAGGGAAAAAAAATGTCTAGTAATAACACTAGCTGACAATTTAAAATGTACCTAGAAAATATTAAGATAAATATACCGTGAAAATTTCAAGAATTTACAGTAATACGTTTTTTAATTATAAACTGTACTATAATAGCTATTATTATTAATTAAAATATATTATACATTTAAGTTTTAAGCCGATTTGTGAATAATTATTTTTTCAACGATTTGATACCTATATAATATATAATATTATTGTTTTTCTAAAACGAATTAATAAATTTTGTCTTACATGTTTAGATGCTGGATACATTTTTACCYGGAATGAAAGCTCTGAACAAAGGACATGTWGTGTTCTTGTCGTCGATGGCTGGTATAATTGGCTTGAAGAACTTGGTGCCTTATTGTGCGTCTAAATTCGCAGTGAGAGGTTAGTGGTTGTCAGCTTGAAAACAATAACAATAATAATGAGCGGTCATCACCTAAACATTTTCATTGGTTTTAGGTCTATCAGAAGCGATAATGGACGAGTGYAGGGATGATGGCTTTAAAAATCTCCGTTTCACCTGTATTTATCCATACATGGTGGACACCGGTCTGTGTAAGAAACCTATAATTCGGTAAGTACACAATATTTATGTACAACCACGGATTATATAAAATAATCTGATTTATTATATTACATAAATTAATATAATCTGTGGTACAACAGTACGCTGTTTATAAACGCGTATATTACTGATAAAACGATTGTAAATAGTTTCCCCGGTTTGTTACCACTTGTAACACCCGAATCGACAGCGAGAGAGATAATATCAGCCGTCAAAAAGAACTTACTTGAACAATCCATCCCGAGTCCATTGCTCGTCATCAATAACATATTTAGGTAAATTAAAATTATTTGGTAATAATATAATGCCCAACGAAAGCTGTGTACCTACTAAAATACATATTATAATATTGTGGTCTGTTGTTTTAACTCGTTACAGATGTTATCCGCACAAAATGGCAATGGACTTCAAAGATTTCATGGGCGGTGGAGTTGATGCACATGATGATTAATTATTATCAAATATGCATGCGTGAAAACTATAATCCTATAACGAAATTAACATCATGTTCGTATAATACTGCAGTGGACCGCTAATTGAGCAATCGTGTACTATTATATACCTAATATGGAACTATGAAC